GTCCCTCTCCCTCTGCTCCTCCCCAGCCCCCACTCTCTCTCTTCCATAAATAAATAAATAATCTTAAAAAAAAAAAAAAAGAAACTCATTTTTTTCCCTCCTGCATGGTGGAGTGGTCAAACTATCAGAGACCTATTAATTACGAATGAAATACAAATCATGTTAAATCGAATCTGTGTGGTTGTGAATGAGTAGGCATTTCAGGTGAACTGTTTAACCAAATGTAATCTTCTCAAGAGTAATGTCCTGGTTTTGTAACCCTTTCTATGCCTACCATGGAACTCAGATTCCTTCAGTAACAACACAGCCTTGCTGATGATGATTCATGAATTCCTTCATTCCACAAAAGATTTTTTCAATACCAACCATGTGCCAGGCACCCTTCTAGGTTCTGGGGATATAGCAGAGAACCAGGTCCCACACCAGGGGAGCTCATGTTTTAGCAAGGGAAGGAATAAAAGAAACAAGAGTCTATCAGGTAGTTGTAAGTGGGAAATAAGTTACAGTGATGTGATAGGGAGTGCCTGGGTGGAGAAGACCTCCCTGAGGGGCTGCATTTTAACTGGAAGGGCAAGAAGAGAAGGAACCTGCGTACAGTGATGTCAAACAGCTCTCCAGGGAACAGGCAGATGCCAATGCCATGAGGTAAAAATGAGAGCAGCTTGTTTGAGGAACTGGAGAAAGGATGGAGTGGCTTGAGGGAGGGATATGAGATGAGGCTCAGAACAAATAGGAACCAGATAATGTAGGGCCTTAGAGGCCCTAACTGACTTTAATGTGATAGAAAGTTGGGAGTATTTTTTTTTTTTTTAGGATTTTATTTATTTATTTGACAGACAGAGATCACAAGTAGGCAGAGAGGCAGGCAGGTTGGGGGGGAAGCAGGCCCGATGTGGGGCTCGATCCCAGGACCCCGGGATCATGACCAGAGCAGAAAGCAGAGGCTTTAACCCACTGAGCCATCCAGGCACCCCAGAAAGTTGGGAGTATTTTAAGAGGGAAAGAGAAGCTGAACTCTTTGGGAAAAATCTATTTAAAAATGGATACAAAAGACTGAGAGAAGTTTTGTGTCACTTCTTGTCTGAAGCAGTGAAGAGAGAACATATCTTGTCACAAAGAGTGGGCTGGCAGAACTCAGAAGGTACAAGAAGACAACAATAAAACGTACATTACAGATATCAAAACCACATTAGAAACAAAAGAAGTAGAACAGGTGCTGCTGAAGACATAGGCCCAAGAAAGTTTCAATTGAATAAAGACACGTACATGGTAAGAGAAAATAAGTACACAAAATAAAGAGGTTAGAGACAAAGACAAAGACTAGATAACTGCACAATTGTTGTCCTTGAAGATGAACCAAAAAATATATAGAAGAGAAATCATTCCAGTGTAGAATAGGAGAAAGCAGAGAATTTGGAATCTGTAGACTTCAAGGGCACAGCTTGCTGCAGGAACTATCAACCCAAAGAAATGTCCTGATGAAGTTTTTTAACTTTAAAAAAGGTAGAGACTCCTGTGAGATTTCAGACAGAAACATCAGGTTAGCTACAAGACAAGCTAACCTCAAGCCATTGTCACTTGACAATCTAACCTCTAGACAAAATGAGGAGGCTCCTTGCTAATAATGTGGAGATAGAGATCCCCGGGAGCAATGAGCACAAAATGTTAGAGATAGGGTGGATTCCTCTTAAGGCATCTCTCCAGTAAGACAGATGGCCATTTGACCTTCCCCATCCAAATGGGGCTACTGGGTGTCGTCCTGACTTACTGGGGTTGATCAGATGGCAGACCAGGCTGCATTATATCAAGACAAGTGCAACATTTGGAAACCTGCCACCTTCCCAGGCAAAGATAATCCAACTGTTCTTTAAAAATAAATTGCTAAAAGCCAATCACATACATATAATTTAAACATAATCATCGTGGCTAGATTTAATCAATTCTACTGGACTGATTTAGATCTATCGTTCATAGGCATCATTGACTTTAGCGGACAATCTGGTGACAAAAGAAAGAAGGTCTTATTACAAAACAGTATTTCTTTTTGTGGGGTTGTAGGGTTGCCAGGGGGTGCAGGTGGGGTGTTGGAGGGTGAAGGGGAGAACCTAGACTCCAGGTAAAGAGAATTGACTCAGGAATCTCTTAACAAGGGAGAGCCCAATAAATTTAAATACAGATGGAGTTTGAAATCTTTAATACGTTCCACTTTTTTCTGTGTATGTATTTGTAATGATCAAAAACACAATTGTCTTTTGGATAATAACTTTATCTGCATTATTTACTACTGTGAAATGGCTTAGGATGTACATTTGGAAAGAGCATTTGAGTCTCTTGAAATTAAAAGCGTAAATCACTGGTGTGTTAAATAATACAAATGACTAAATGGGTTTAGAATTCAGACTAAAATACATTTTGCGTTACTATATGGTAACTTTGAAGTTGTGACACTGCTGTTATGCCATGGAAATTTATATTCTATCATAGTTGTTGTGATTTCACATAATAGAATGAAAAGAAGCTGTGCATCTCCATCATCTACACAGAAGGAAGGAGAGAACATATATCCTCTAGATACAGGAATTCATATACTTTGATTTTCTCTGAAATAAAATTCTTATTTTGTCTAAGATCCTTTGCTTTTCCTCAGTTGCACTCATTTGAATGTCTGGCCCATGTTAGACCCTCACATATATATTTACTTGTTTGTACTTCATTTTAGCATCACCATTTTATGGGGAATAGTCAGAAATACATACCAACTTTTCTCAGGCAAGCAGAGAACTGAGGCAAATTGTTCCAATGTTTTGATGCAATGAACCAATGATTGCAATTTTTAAGCTAATTATTTCAAGTCCCTTCTTCACTTTAACTAGGTAGTCTACATTTCTTTTTCAAATGCACAGCTTTTGCCTTCTTAGAAAGTTGCAATTTTGAGTGATTTTTAATCTTGATTTCCCATTTCACTTCCATGTGCCATATTAATCTGAGGAACTTAGACTTTAATACTGTTTCCACAGTTACAAGCTTTGAGCTAATCATGGCCCTGGGAATTGAGTTCTCAAGTGTGTATACAACCCCCTTGACTCTCAGTTCCCAGCGTCGACTGTTGGCTCCAAATCTCGCCTGTGGGGATCAGGAGCAGTGCCTGCCTGCTCACCCTGCCTGACAAACACTACGGGTGAGCCAGGAGTCAGTGGTTCCTAATCAGCATTTGCAGGAACCGAGGAACCGATCTTTGGTCTTGCAAAAGGGGAAAAGTGTATCCCATTATCTGTAGACGGTTTCTGCTACCTTGCAGAACCAAAAGGAAGCTGTTGGACAAAAGGAAACCTCTGTTTCTCAGAACCACCAGGTGGACTGAGTTTTCCTTATCTCTTGGATTTTCCATTAAGCATCTTCCCATAGAACATAAAGCATGCTTGAAAGTTCAGTGTTTTCCTCATTATCGCATTTCCAAATCCAACTCAACCTTCAGGGTTGAGCTCAAGTCTTACTTTCGGTATTAAGTTATGTTTTTTATATTGGAAAGAACTTTAGTCTATAGATAAGTACAGAGAATAATATAGCAGACAATTATGTCCTATTTGATGGTTTTGTTTAATAAAAAAAGTATCATTGATGGTGTTGATGTAGTTTTTCTACCTACCCCCAACATAATTCTCCTTTCCCCCTCTCCAGAAGCAAGTTGTACCTGATCATTAGGCTGTTGGCTCAAATTTTTAAATGGTTGTGCCGTTTTCTGGATCTCAGCTGTTTGCAAGCAGTCCAGTTCCAGCTTCCTAACATGGCCAACCTCTATGGCCCCTGACCCAAAGCAAGCATTACAAGCTCCTAAAGTATAAAAGCAGTCTGGAGACACATCTGCCATTTTGACGGGGAACCATTTACCTCCTTGACCTCCCAACTCTCTCTGATTCCTGTAGCATTGAGCATTTGGTCCAGTTTCCAATCACTTCTTTTGTGCTAACTCTATGTATAGAAGCTGTATTGTTTTCTTAAGAAAAAAAAAATACGTTCTCAAAAGCAATTCCATTCTTCTTTTACAACAAACTGTGAAAAGATCTTCTGAGGGTTGTAGTATCACAGTAGATTATGCTTGTAAGCCAATCTCTTTATCAGAGAAGTGTCACTTAGAAGTGTGCTTTACTTCATAGAATAGATGCTATTGCAACCATCCAACAGTCATTGATAACCAACTATGGTCAAGTTAGCAAAGTAAGCATAATGAGATACAAGAAATGCATAAAGATTTGGTGTCCCCGTCTTGAGCAAAATGATTATGATGCCTTTTTGAAAATACATAGTTAACGAGTTCATGCTTTAAATGTAGTAACAGCACCCATGGCTTAAATAAAGGCTGTGTTATTAATTTTGTAACTTGACTTGTGTTTTGGGAATTTTTAAGGATTTACTTCTTTTTTCCAAAATAACCTGAAAATCAAGAGTGTGTGCCCCAACAATTGAATAACAACTGTTTACCTTAGACCAAATTATCAGTACCATGGGCTTCTTTACCAGAGTTTGAAAATGCATTTTTAGACCTTCTTCTTTTGCCTTGTCCTGGCAACGGATGACTGTATAGGGAAACCGCCAAGTCTGGCATTACAGAACTTACACAGCATGTGACTGTGTGTGAACACAAATTAAAGATGTCCTAAGGCTTGGATTACTGAAATGTAGTTGGCCGTATATCTCATTCTGTCACCTGGACTGAAACTAAAGACCAACACGCATTTCAGTGAAATTCCTTGGGAACTGATTATGCCTTTGCATTATTTATTATGACTAGACAAATTGCACCATCTTTTTCACTAACATCATTTAAAATTTCAGGTAACATGTCCCTATAACTTTATCTCCCCTGAAAATGCCATAAAACACCATGAGTGTGAATTTATCAGTCACAGAAATTGTTGCGGTCAGTCATTGGTTAGAACTGAAGGCCTTGAACGACAGATTGACTGTCATTTTGATTTCTTTGTCTTTTCTTTATTTTTCAGACACTGCAAATGGACGTAAGCAGGCTGAATATAACCTTGCTTCGGATATTCCGCCAAGGAGTGGCCGCAGCTCTAGGAATCTTACCCCAGCAAGTGCACATCAACCGCCTCGTTGTAAGACGCCAACATTTTGCATTCCCAGAGTACAAACTTTGATTTTTATTGTAGGCTTCCATAATAAAGAATGCCCGTGCTATTGTTCTATGGCCCATGAGCCAAATTTGGCATGCCACCTTTTTATACAAGGAAAGTTTTATTGGAACAAGCCCCACCCATTTTTTCCCAGATTGTCTATGGCTGCTTTCCTGCTGCAATGGTAGAGTTGAGTAGTTGCAACAGATTTTTGGCTAAATTGAAAGCTATACTATTTGCTAGCTGGCCCTTCCCAGAAAAAGTTTGTCAACCCTCTCATAGTTCAAGGCTAGCTCTACCTTGATAGGTGTGACTAGAGGAGCTGAAAATACTTGTCTCACAAACCCAACGGTACTCCCAAAATACTCTCCCTAAGAGTGAAATCTTCTACATCAGTGAAGACACTGTCTCCAGACAGTAACTATTAAAACCCTTCAAGTGTGTCAGCATGACAAATTTATTGGCAAATAGAGTAAAGAAGAACCAAATCTTAAGGACAGCACCCCAAATGGAATGCAAGAATAGATAATGCCGGGGCTCCTGGGTGGCTTAGTCGGTTAAGCGCCTGCCTTTGGCTCAGGTCATGATCCCAGGGTTCTGGGTCGATTCCCACATTGTGGGGAGGTCCCCGCTCAGCGGGGAGCCTGCTTCTCCCTCCGCCTCTGCCTCTCTCTCTCTGTCTCTTATGAATAAAATTTAAAAAAGAAAATCTAAAAAAAAAAACAAAACCCTAGAATAAAAAAGAATAATGCTGAAAAATCAAGAGAACACTTAGACTGAGTATCTGGAGTGGGGACGAGGTGAAACGGAAGACTTCTGTAGAAAGCCCACTTCAGACCTACCTGCCAACCCTTCACATCACTTCCTTCCTCTTCCCTCTGTGTTTGGGACCTTTGATGTCGCCCAACTGCCTGCTCCCACCAGCACGTGAAGGCGGGTGTGAGCAAAGGGCAAAGATTGGCAAATCCAAATCATAGGATTTTCTTTTTGTAAACAGCTGATTACCCAAGGTTCCTCTGAGAAGGGACTCCAGGACCATCTTACTTACCTCTTACTGTATCTTCTCCTTGCTGTCAGTTCTGACGCTCCTGCCTGAGCTCATCTTTTTCTTCCCATCAGTATCTGCACTTTGAGCTACAGAGAAGAATTTCCTTTTTATTTTGGTTTAGAGCTTTTGTCTCTCTTCGTTTTTTCTGTGTGTGGAGAGTGAGTTGTTGCAGGTCCCATAATAACTTCTCTTTGTGAGCCAGCTATTTCTTCGGACTAAATAAGCTGAAAAAAAAAAAATCCATCAAAGTTTTTAATGCAATACGATTGAAGAGGAAATGTGATATTGCCCAATATCCTGAAAGAGTTAAGTTGGTTATTTCTATCCAGGGCATAGCTGGCTCAAGTGAGAAGACGGAGGTATTAGAGATGTCTGAGAGCCAGACCTAAACTGTGTGTGTGTGTGTGTGTGTGTGTGTGTGTTAGATATCTTAAGTATACTTTGAAGTGTATAGATTTAAGGAGCATAATGGCTCTTTGCAGGGATAAGAGATTGGCCACACCCAAGGAAGTACCTGCTCATCCTCAGAGAATGTTAGTGGCATTTATATGTATCTGTTTCCAAGAGCAATTATTATAATGCGGGGAGCTACGATGAAGCCAAGGGCAGTGGAGCTTGGTGATTCAGAGCAGTGCTTCGGAGGCACAGACAGAACTGTACTCCATTTCCGGCTTGGCCATATCCCAGTTCTGTGACCTTGGGCAAGCCACTTCCGTTTCTTCTTTTACAAATTGGAGATAACCGTAATACCTATACCCGGAGGTGTTTTGAGCATTAAATAAGATAACAGATTTACCATGCTCAGGAGTGTGTCAGGCACAAAACAAGTGATCTGTTCCTACCGTTGCTGTTACTAGGTCAGAAACTAAATTATTATAAACATGTTTTACACCAACATTATGCTATGTTTAGTCCTTGTCTGATGTCCCCTGCAAACACTAAAGTTGTTTTTAACTTAAAATTTTTTAAAGATTTTATTTATTTATTTGTCAGAGAGTGAGAGAGAGTGAGCTCAAGCAGAGGGAGCAGCAGCCAGAGGGAGAAACTAACTTGCCCCTGAGCAGGGAGCCTGATGTGGGACTCCAGGACCCCAAGATCATGACCTGAGCCGAAGGCAGATGCTTGACCAACTGAGCTACCAAGGTGTCCCCGGAAATGTTTTTTCTGGATTGCTAGTATACTGATATTGCATTTTATTTATCTATTTTTTAATTTAATTAATTTATTTATTATTTGATGGAGTTCACACATAGGCAGAGAGGCAGGCAGAGAGAGAGGAGGAAGCAGGCTCCCTGCTGAGCAGAGAGCCCGATGCGGGGCTCGATCCTGAGATCATGACCTGAGCTGAAGGCAGAGGCTTTAACCCACTGAGCCACCTAGGTGCCCCCGATACCGCATTTTAGTGTAAGTGCTACCAAAGCGAGCACGATACTTCATTTTTATACCCGGCTGAACTGATAAGATGCATTGAAAGAACATTTTCTAGCACAAGAGAACTCTACGTATCAAAAAGAAAAGACCAGCAACAATTCCCTCTAGAAAGGCACTATCTAAATTGTAAAGGAGAATCTGTCAGTGACAGTATCATTTTTGTTTAGTGTTTGGTTTTGTGTGTGTATGTGACATATCAGCCATTTATGGTAAGAAATCCTCTGTTTCCATTTCAGGTAATGAGGTAATACTAAGAAGAAAGTATCAGGATATTACTGCACAGCATATGCATTTCTACCAAGGATAGATTTTTTTTTTTTTAAGATTTTATTTATTTGAGAGAGGGAGAGTGGAGAAGGAGAGTAAAAGGGAACTGAGCAGTGAACCTGATGTGGGACTCGATCCCAGGACCCTGAGATCATGACCTGAGCCAAAAGCAGATGCTTTAACCCACTGAGCCACCCAAGTGTCCCCCAAGGATAGATTTTAAAAGTATAATATATTTGAAGTGAGGGACAGGATCAGGGAAGCAACTTCAAAGCTCATCTAGCATCAGCTTTCTTAGTTAACCCAGCCCTCACATTGATTACAGGTTATAAGGAAAATATATGGAGTCATGAGGGCTAATAATTACACGGTTACATCAGGTTTTATTTAATTCATTTGCTTTTTTTTTTTTTTAATTCATTTGTTTTTTAAACACTTCTTTAAACACAATTGCTCTGGGAACGTCTGAATGCTGTTTTTCAAAAATTACAATATGGAGTGGCAATTAAACCAGCTTCCAGGGAAATACAAAGTTACAAATCTTGAAAGAAAGTCATTGGAAGATTCCAGGCTTCAGGCTGATAATATTAAGTGTGCCAGATAACTAGCAAACCTGATCTCCAAGATGCCTTTGGAACTTTTAGGCTTCTAATTTTCTTTAATGATTCTAGAGAAAAGGTGAAAATATTTCCCAAAGCTGTTTAAAATGTCTATTAACCTATACAAATAATCTGCTTTTACTAGGAAAAGAAGAACAGTGTTGAACTATTTGTGTCTCCTGTAAACCGAAAAGGAGGGACTTCAGATGCTCTGCCGTCTGAGGAAGTGCTGCGTTCACTTAATATAAATGTTTTACATCAAAGTTTATCCCAATTTGGAATTATAGGAGTCTCCCCTGAGGTATGTTATTCATGGGATATTTCATTTAGAAACATGCACAGTTCGTGTGACAGGGTAACTCGATCCCAGGAGGCGTCGAAATGAAAACTGTTTATGGTGTATTATTTGATAATAAAAATCTCCCTAAGGGTCAGAATTCTCTGACCCTCATACTTAATATGTTTATTCCTTAAGGGAATTTATTTTCACATCAAAGTTCCATTCTGAGACACTTTCTTCTCTAAATCTTTGTGTTCTTATAACTTATTTCGACTTACCCAGTAAATTATACCAAAGAGAAACCAATTGGATATATTTGTCAGGTGATTGCTTGAAACTGTAGGATCAAAGAAAAACCACCCTGCTTTCTTCCTTAACAGGTGTACTCCTCACTGCCTTCATGGTCAAAGTGGTTACCAGATACTCACCTTTGTCCACAACTTTGGAATTAATTGGAAATGCATTTTTGTTTGTTTGCTTTGGTTTGTTTCCCAAGGAACCCTGTTTTAAGAACTGTGGATAGAGTCTTCATAGTGTTTTCTAAATTTGACATTTTTTTAAAAAGATTTTATTTATTTATTTGACAGACAGAGATCACAAGTAGGCAGAGAGGCAGGCAGAGAAAGAGGGAAGCAGGCTCTCTGCTGAGCAGAGAGCCTGATGTGGAGCTCGATCCCAGGACCCTAGGATCATGACCCGAGCTGAAGGCAGAGGCCTCAACCCACTGAGCCACCCAGGCGCCCCATAAATTTGACATTTTTTAAATTGCCCCCATCGTCTCTGCCATCCTCACTTCTGAATAAATTCAGTACCCCCCCTTTTTTTTTTTACTATTTCTGCTTCGTCGCACTGTAACAAACTCACTAGAATGATCACCTAAATATATGTAATTAAATCCACGAAATCATAGAATCAGACTTGAGGGAATGTACGTGAACATTTTATAGATGCAGAAAGTAAGGCCTGTTGAAGTAAAGTGACTTCATCAAAGTGACAAGCAAGCGGAGTATAAAACAACATCTGACATCTAGACATCTTGATTCCTAGTCTCTTCACCTTTGCAGGAAAGCACAATGCCTCTCATCTCAGCAAATATCACAGGTGTGGTGCAGAAAGCTTTGATACCAGACTGAATTTGAGTCCCAAAGCCAGCCACTAGGATGCGTGTGACCTTGGGCAGGTGATTTAATCTCTGTGAGATTAAATCTGTCTTTGCCTAATATTGGCCTCTCGGAGCCTCAGTCTCTTCCTTTCCAAAATGGATCAATTAAAAAACAAAAGGTATAGTTTTTATCTCATAGACTAGAAATATGAATTAAATTTTAGAAATACATATGGAAGTCCTCACCTAGAGTAGGCACCAAATATAATTTGAACGCAGGACAGTTTTTTTTCAGGCAGGATGAAAATGTGTTTCATCTTCAAACCATGACTGTAACAGCCACCTCCAGCTGCTCTGGCTGCATTAAGGTCTGCTCCCCTCCTTGCCCTCTCCAAGCTCTGCCCAGCCCCCGTCACATACACAGGGGATTTTTCTCTCTTGCCACACAGTCATCGCTCTAAAAGCAAATCTGGCCATGCTCTCCGAACGTCAGGATTCTTCTCTGGCTTCCTAAATGCTGTAGAATCAGGTCTGGATTTCTTAATATGATACGAGGTCCTTTGTGCACTGGGCTTTCTAATAGTTGAACAGCATCCTCCTAGTATCAGCAACTCCAGACTCAGAGGGTACCAAGACACCCCCATACCATCTCTTCCCTCCAGGCTGGTGCCTATGTCGGTCCATCTGCCCAACCTTCATTCAGTACCTGGCATATGATGGGCACACAAACAGCCAAGTGTTGTGTAGATAATATCCAAGTTGGACAACCAAATGAATAAACAAACAAATAAATAAACAAAAAAATGTGATTTTCGCTTTCAACAAATTTGTATTCTAGTAGGGCAAATAAGACGTAAGCCGCCAAGGAGAATATAGGGGGAGGTGTAGGTAACGGTACCACACTGAGCTGTAAGAGCTTTGAGGAAGAAGAGGCCATCTCCTGCTTCCGAGAAGAAGAGAGGGTCCATGTGAGCTGTAACCCCCAAACCCCTCAGCAACCTAACTGCATGTGATTCTGACGGGCCTCCCTTTTGTTTCAAACCAAACCCCATTTTCATATCTAGGTCCTTGACCTAGGCCTTGCACACTGTCTTGCTCAGGACAATTCTTCAAAATTTAAGAAGACCATTGGGTTAATTTATTCTTCTTCCTAAAAGCTTTCAGTGAATATTATAAGCATCCCTCCCTGTTGCTTTATTCTGAGTTTAAGTGAGTCATCCAGATTTGCAAGCCCAGAGAAGCTCACCATACCAAAACCTAGTTAAAATCAAGTGTTTGTCCTTCAATACACTTCATCCCAGTAAAGATGAGGAGCTTGTCACAGAACTATTAACCCACAGTAGACCTTAGGTCTGTACTGCACTTGAATAATGGAAGTGTATTTGATGGTCAAAATGGGATATATTTTATGAAAATAGAGGAATTTAGAAATCTAGAAAATCTAGAGTCTAGAAATTATTACATCATAGAAGACTAGGAAGGATTCTAATTGGATATAAAAGGCATTTCATTAAGGACAGATGGATTGTTTGAGGGCCTTTGCTCAGGCACTTCTGGAACGGACCCAGCATTGCCCTCTGACCTGAAGCTCTAATGTGCAAACAAGAGAAAACCATCTTGGTCATGGGCAGCCTCAGCCACGTATAGTCCACAGGGGCACTGAGGAAGCATTTGTTGATATTTGTTTAAGCTGGTAATGGTATCCCGTGAGTTTCCTCATGTCTTTAGTCATTATTGTCATTAATGTGTCAGAACAGCTTATGCCTCAACCCATTCTTTCACATTTTTATCCCAAAGTTATAGCTGTGCTATAGTAACTAACATGTTTATTAACAGGAAAGTAAAAAGAATATTTGTATTTTGGTTGTTCATCCTTTATCTGGATTATAGAACACTGTGAATGATGTCTCAAAGAATTCATTTCCAAACTTACATTAATTACTTTCAAGGAAGGATGTGTTTTCTGCTGTTGTCATTTCTTTATTTGCTTGTTTGTTGCTGTTTGTTTGTTTGTTTGTTTTTTTAATTAGAAATGACTCGTGACGGGGCGCCCCGGTGGCTCAGGGGGTTAAAGCCTCTGCCGTTGGCTCAGGTCATGATCTCTGAGTCCTGGGATCGAGCCCCGCATCGGGCTCTCTGCTTAGCGGGGAGCCTGCTTCCCTTCCTCTCTCTCTCTGCCTGCCTCTCTGCCTAGTTGTGATCTCTGTCTGTCAAATAAATAAATAAAATCTTTAAAAAAAAAAAAAGAAAGAAAGAAAGAAATGACTCGAGAAACAAAAATACCAAACAGAGAATTACTCTTGTTCATTCATCTGTTCTCACTTTGAATCTAAGTTTTATTTGGAGAAAAGACATTATTTCTTTTATGACCTAGCATGATGTAGGCACTTCAATATTATTTTATTATAAGATGCTCGTAAACATAAAAGTAGACTTCCTGTTGCCTTGTAAGTTAAAGCTTAAGGAAATAAAATGAAATTCATTATTTTAACTTCTATTTTTAGATGTTTTTATAAAATTAATTTGAGTATTAAATAATTGATTAATTAAAATCTATTGAAACACGAAACTCTACACTGATAATAACAAATGATTTTAGGATTTGCTGTTTTTGCATAATTGCCAATTATTCCCTCTTGACAGGTCTTCTGCTTCAAAGGAGAAAGTTACCTTCTTTAAATAACAGGCCAGTGTGCTGAATGATAGCTTTCGTGGAATATTTCCAAAGAGAAAAAAAAAACGCACCAAATAAATATGTACCGTAACGCATGAGTACGGCGACTGTTCATTCCTTGAAACTGCAACATGAGCCAGGGATTTAAAAAATTTTCATCCTGGCCCTCCAGTGCAGAGGAGAAATGTGATTACTGTTAACATGTGTCAGATCATTCAAAATGATCTGTTCACTTTGTGCACAATCCAGTGGAAGTTGGGCATTTGTCAAACAAAATTACATTGTTGGTGGATATACCTCATTTATCTGCCTAGTTCAACCAATTTGCCAGATAATTTATAATATTTCAGTTCCATTCTTATTCTGTGTGCCTATCTCTTTTCAAAACCTTTAGCTCCTAAAGTCTCCGTATCATCTCTCCTAACATTTGGGATGTCTCGCACCACTTGGGATCAGAATTGGTTTAAAAAAAAAAAAAAAACAATAAAACAACTATAGTGCATTAAATTATTAAACAGGATATAGAGATGTCGTGTTATGGATAGAGGAAACTGCCCAAATTTTAAGTAGTAGACTAAAACAAAACCTAGCAACTTTTTTCACGGCAACAAAGTTAAAGGGCAAAGCGATGTAGAGAGTTGTAGCTGTGAAATCAGAAGTAAATATGGTACAGGGGCATTGGGCTTGACCTGACCATGGAGACTCTGAATTATTGAACCCTTGGCCCCTCAGGCAAAGGTTAGATTGGAGATTCATGGGGGTTACAATCTTTTGTCTTGTGGGATCTTAACTACTAACTTTTTCATTTATGACCTTGTCCTTATCAATTTTTTAGATCTCTGTACAAATATAGTAGGGCTCAGCAGTAATGGCATGACTCAGAAGGAAATCTATTTACCAAGAAAGTGCAGTGACTAAGTTCTAGGAGTTCAAAACATGTGCTTTTCGAACTGGGAGTGGGGGAGTGGGGGTGGGAGGTTAATTCTTCCCCCAGCACCACTTTGGTTAAAAGAGAAAACAAAACAGATTTGTCTTAAGCAGAAAGGAACATGTTGATGTTCTAGGAGATGTCGAACTATAGCAGAAAAAAAGAAAAAGAAATGAAGCAAATAAGGTTAGGAACACAAAATTTCTTTCCACCCACCTAACCACCCCTTTTTATCCAAATTTTACATGAACTAAAGCTCCGATCCTCATACTTGAATTTGACAAGTTTAGGTTGCCTACTTGAAGGCTTAACTAGTTTGCTTTTATAGCAAGCAAGAGATGTTATTTAGTTGCCTGTAACAAACTCATTTCCATGTTTATACATGATTTCTATAAGAGTTTTCTTTTGTACTAGTTTCCAGCTATAAACATAGCTGGAAACTATATTTCCAGCTATAAACATAGCTGGAAACTATATTTATTATATAATAATTAAACTATGTATATATTTATTGCATTAAATATGATCTGGCTGAGGTCAAAGAGTAAGAAACAAGTCACCATTTGAATCCAAGACTTCCTTTCCAGAAGGATATTGGTTTCGTCTTTTTTTTTTTTTTAAGATTTTATTTATTCATTTGAGACAGAGAGATACAGAGAGAGAGTATGAGCAGGGGTAGAGGCAGAGGGGAAAGGAGAAGCAGACTCTTACTGAGCTGGGAGCCCAATGAGGGGCTTGATCCCAGGACCCTCAGATCATGACCTGGGCTGAAGGCAGCAGCATAATTATCTGAGCCACCCAGGCACCCCAAATACTTGGTCTCTATTCATTTCATCAGGCGAGTATTTTCAGATTCTCCCTCAACTTACCACTTACATGTTTTTAAAAGATATACAAATCGGGGTGCCTGAGTGACTCAATTGGATAAGCATCTGCCTTTAGCTCAGGTCATGATCCCAGGGTCCTGGGATTGAACCCCACGTTGGGCTCCATGCTCAGCTTGGAGCCTGCTTCTCCTCTCTCCCACCTCCATCCCCCCTCATCATACTTGCTCTCTCTCTCTTTCTCTCTCTCTTAAATAATTAAATAAAATCTTTTAAAAAAAGATATACAAATCATTTATTGTATCTATGAATTTGTGTCTTAGAAAGTTGGCAAGATGTTATGGTGAGCATATCAGTGTTTTATAAACAAAGGATGTTAGCAAAGGATGTTACACTAGTAAGTATAAAACTAAGACATTCATTCAACTTCTTAAAGTCATTTTTTTTTAAAGATTTTATTTAGTTATTTGACAGAGATCACAAGCAGGCAGAGAGACAGGCAGAGAGAGAGAGGAAGAGAAGCAGGCACCCTGCTGGGCAGAGAGCCCGACGCGGGGCTTGATCCCACGACCCTGAGACCATGACCTGAGCCGAAGGCAGAGGCTTGACCCACTGAGCCACCCAGGCGCCCCTCTTAAAGTCATTTTTATAATCACAATTGAACTCTAAGATCCTTTCTGTTCTGTGTTGCTCAAGTCCCCAGCAACACTCACTTGAGTTCCAGGATAAAAGTTTTCATAAAGTAGTTTTTTTAAGGCAAATATTCTTTTTGTCTAATTTACAAATATTGAATATATTTTATTTTTTAAAAAGTCTTGAAAAATAATTAACAATCACTTCAAAGTTCAGATACCTACTAGGACAGGTTTTTGTTCAAGGCGCTTTTTTTTTTTTTTTTTTTTTGAGATAGCTATTGATTTCTCATGATCCTGTGAGTTGACAAGGATCGGCTAGGTGGCTCTTCCCTGTAGTCTAAGCTGAAGTCACCCCAGTAGTCACATTAAACTGGGCATTCATCAGCCACTGGTGTGCCCAAGAGAATCTCATTCCCTACCACCTCCCTCCGTGTGGCTTTTCATCATTTAATATCCTGTTGCTCAAATCTTTCTTAACTGATGGAGACAAGATCCAAGGACAGACAACTATTCTCACTAAAGGGAATAAAAGGCATATTTAACAAAATGGAATTTTATTTTAGAGATTTTTTTTGTTTACTCATTTGAGAGAGATACAGAGACAGAGCACAAGCAGGGGGAGAGGCAGAGGGAGAAGGAGAAACAGACTCCCTGCTGAGCTGGGAGCTGGACATGGGGCTTGATCCCAGGACCTGGGGATCATGACCTGAGCCGAAGGCAGACGCTCAACCACCTGAGCCACCCAGGCGCCCAACAAAATGGAATTTTAGAGGCACAGAAGCATTTGACTTGATTTAGCTTTTATGTTTACCCTAACCATAGACCATTTGATTGCAAGCTAGATTTTCCTTAACTATAAACCTATAAATTTCACTGAATTATAAAATTTAATTGCACCCTAATATGTGATACTAGGAGGTATAAAACTAAGACATTCATTCACGTTTTATTCAACTTCCTCTCCTTGTTTCACCCACTAAGTGGTAAGCCAAAATAATTTAAAAAGCATAAATAAAACTATTTATTTTACCTTTTGTTACTAAATAGTTCTGGACTTTCTGATGGTCTCTGTTGCTTTAAATAAAATATAATATCCTAATAATTGGCATGGTCGAGGTGAAACAATCAGATTTTGACAAAGTGGACTGCATTTAAAGGGGAAAAAAAGATTTGATGAAAGAGAGGGGAAAAGGGACGCCTGGGTGGCTCAGTTGGTTAAGCAGCTGCCTTCGGCTCAGGTCATGATCCCAGCGTCTTGGGATCGAGTCCCACATCAGGCTCCTTGCTCATCAGGGAGCCTGCTTCTCCCTCTGCCTCTGCCTGCCATTCTGTCTGCCTGTGCTCGCTCTCTCTCTCTCTCTCTGGCAAATAAATAAATAAAATCTTAAAAAAAAAAAAATTTAAAAAAAAAATTATAAAAAAAAAGAAAGAGGGGAAAAAAAAGAAGGAAATGATGTAGACATTATTGCTCTGTTTATAAAGACATCATGAGATTTTGTCTGCACCTGTTTCACTTTTGTTTAAAAGTCAAGAGCTGCACGTAAGCCAGGGTGTTGGTGCTGTGGGAGGGGACTTAACACAGAGTAAAGAAAGCTTCCAAAACAATTTCTTCAACACAGAAAAGAACAGAACTCTTTCACTTTATGAACCAGGTAATTTCTGAGAGAGACTGGTGGAGGGATGTTTACGAAGTCCAGGACCCAATTTGCCATGTCAGGCATGCTTGCTCCTGGACAGGAGATAAAATCATCTCTTAATGTAAACGGACGGTAGTCCTCGTCTTAGATCAGGTTGAGAAGCAGCTCTTGTTGTGGGGGAGGTAGGTGTGTTCTACTCCACTGAATGGAATCAAGCTAAAAATATGTTTAGTGTCTGATAAGAATGCCATTCTCCTCAAACTCTCCTTTAACGTCGGACTTTCTGTTTTGCTTTTAAAGAAAAATGTTTTACAAGGGCAGCACGAAGCGGACAAAATCTGGAGCAAAGAAGGATTTTATGCTGTTGTCATTTTTCTCAGCATCTTTGTTATTATAGTAACGTGTTTGATGGTAAGTGGGCTTCTTTCTATATTTTATCCCTTACCGAGCCACTGCTTAGTATTATTGGATACACTGCCATTCAAAGGAATGTTGAAAAGCCTGGGAACAGAAGCTAAGCTACTATCCTGGTAGACTGGGGATGTTTCTCTGACAGCAGAGTGATAGGTAAGGAAAACCTATGGAATTATGGATTCTGACCTGCAGAATAAGGTTGTAATTGCAGTGGGGCCTTCAGTAACTTGATCAACCTGGGATGGAGCTTTAGAAAGTGATTTACCCAGATCCCTAGAGCCCTCAAAGTCAATAAAGTCTCATGGGCACACTTTGGGCTTACTTTATTTTTTCTTTTATATCATCTTGATGGAACTCAGGAAAAATTTGAAAAAGAAACATGTCTTAGGGGCAAGTTTATATCTTCAATAGTGGTCGATTTTCTTATTTTTAAAAGACCTGGATAACATTCTATGACATTCTATGCACTAAAATGAGATGATTATAGGCTCAAAAACCACATAATTCACCGTCAACTAAATTTTTAGATAAATGAATATAAAAAGTATAAAAGTACACACTGCAAATAGCTCTATAAAGTACAAATTACAAATGTGTAGCCTTTAAAAGTACTTTTCTAATTAAAAAAAAAAGGAACCCAGAATATACCCACTACACTAGGAAGTGCTCTTTGGTATTGAATGAGTTAAGAGATACTTTTCAAATACATTGGTAAGATTTTCCTATTCTTTTGAAAATTCTGTGATGTAATTTAAAATATTTGAAGTTTACAAATGGATCTTAATGTTTTTTCCTTTGTGCTGCATTCTTTTTAATTGTGTACATTTTCAAACATATGCCTTCTTAGTTTTTAAATGTTCCCCCAAAGACAATGATACTTACTCTTTCCACAACCAACAGTGTTGTTAAGTGTCTTATTGGTTTTTGTTCACTTATGCTTCCCCTGCTAGGAAGGGGTTTATGTTAGAAAGATTAGGGCTTAGTTGGGAAAGACAGAGGCTGTGTAGGTCTAAACTTGAAGGATATAAAACAATTAAGACCTTCAATAGGGTGATGATGGGTATATTTCCTCAAGTCTGAATGTAGGAAGTAGTAAGGACATCCTCAAGCTTCCATCATCATGAATCCAGAGGCATCTGTCTCCTATGGGAAGATTTGTAGAAAGAAGATTTCTAAAAATTGTGACATAATAAACATGAGAAAATTTAAGAATTGAGTAAGAAAATCAGTTTTTGTGTATTAAATGGTGGAGATTGGGGGAAAAATTAAGGAGACAAAGTTGGAGGTTTTAGGGAAACTGTGGCAGAGACCACTGGACATTTTTTAGTACTTTAGAAGGTATGGTTTTTTTGTTACAGTTAATTGCACTTTAAAATACATGGGTCTTCTTTTCCTTAAAACAGGAAACCTTGAGTGCTGTTTTCTCTCTTGTCAGGCATATTTACGATGTTTTTCTGCTTCACAGATGAAAACATGAGAGGAAAAGGAGAATAGAAAGGGGTAAAGAGTGCTAAAAGTAGAGATTGTTCAGGCAGGAAAGGGGTGAGATTGAGCAGAGCAAAGGCAAGGAGGGAAGTGGCAAAGCAGAGTTTCATTTTACCTTGTAGGACACGATCCAAGTTCTGCATCTCTAGCTCAAGGAGTCCCCATGTCTCCAGCATGATTGGCTAACCCTACAGAACATATATCGGTCTCCTGAGGCAAAAGGAGCTGTCATGGCCACACTCTCAACCACTCGAGACCAGAGAACAGCTCTTCTTTTCCCAGTGTGAATGGGAACAGTGCAAAGTACCAATGTAAAAGTGAGAAACCTAGATAAGTCTGCCCCAAAGTTACTGGAACAAATCGAGAAAGGAATGTTTCAAAAGTATAGGTGATCGCAAGTAGATCTATCCACTCATTCAGTCCACAGATTCCTGCAGGGGATCCCCTGTGGACCTGTGGTTGGTGCTGTGGCCAAGGAGAGCGCAAGACAGGTGGGGTCCCTCTTCTTGTAGGGCCTAGACTCCAGAGGCAGACACAGACAATAATTAAGTTAGTATTTTTTTTAAATCAAATAGCAGACATACGTGTGATTCCAAGTATTTGACCTTCTGGAAAAGGCAAAACCACAGAGACAGTGAAGAGATCATTGATAGCCAAAGGTCGCGGGGGAGGGGATGAATAGTGGAGAGCCACAGAGTTTCAGGGCAGTGAAACTATTCTGTGTGACACTGTAGTGATGGCTACATTACATCCCTGATTTGTTAAAACCCGTAGAATGTGTAACCCAATGAGCAAGCCCTACTCTAGACTATGGACTTCAGTTAATTGTAACGTATCAATACTGACTCATCAGTTGTAACACGTGTAATCACACTCATGCAAAAACGTTAATAGGGCAAATTGTCTGGGGAAGTAGCAGAATGCGGCTACATGAGAACTCTGTACTCTCTGCTATTTTCTGTAAACTTAAAACTGCTCTTAAAAAACAAAGTCTAGTCATTTCTTGTTAAAATCAAATATTATTCAGTGCCATGAAGAGATACCAGAATAGTGAGTGAGTGGAACAGAGCACTCTGAGACTCCTGAGACACATGAAAATGTGGGGAGGGGGCCTCGCAGGCAGAGGACACCAGGGTGTGGAGCAGCTGGGGCGGGAGGACGCTAGTCTCTCCAGGTTTGAAAGTTGTAAAGCAGCGTTTTGGTGTGATTTGACATGTATGTTTACAAGAGCAGGTATTCTGCTGGTGAAGAGTGGTTGGAGACAGAGCACCAGGTGAAGTGTGGAAGCAGGAGGACTCTTCTGGAAGCCACTGTGTTAGCCTAATGACAAAGATGATAATGGTCCAGAGTAGGGATGGCGGTGGAGATGGAGAGATGGTCCTGATGGTGGTGGAGATGGATAGAGGTGAACGGTTGGGACTTATTTGCAAATGGAAACCGCAGGACTTGCTGTGTACTGTTTCTCAGGGAGAAGGAAAGAAAGAAATTAAGGTTGAGTCCTCATTTATTTGGCTGAGTACCTGGGTGGTGGAGCTCCCATTTTTTGGGAGAGGAACAGGTTGGAGGTGGGGGTCGTGAGAAAAGCAACACTTTTGATTTGGGTTCCATTTGCTCTGAATAAATGAAAGAAATAGAATGATATCTTTCAAACACAACCCTAAATTCTTTTTAAAGATTTTATTTTATTTATTTGAGGTGGGGGAGGAGTAGAGGGAGAGGGACAAGCAGACTTGGCCCTGAGTGTGGGGCCTAACCTGGTGCTTGATCCCATGGCCCTAAGATCACGACCCGAGCCAAAATCAAGAGTCAGACACTTAACTGATGGAGCCACCCAGTGCCCCACAATCTTAAATTTTATTGAGAAAAAGTCACTTTAAGAAGTAACAGAGAAACCAGCAGCATATAGGAAGGAATTAATAGTGATAGAAAAATGCTACCTAGACAGGATTAAGATGAAGTTAAGTTTATTGGTTGTAGCTACAGCACTGACAAGTCAACAGTTCACATTTAGGGACTTTTCAAATGTGATTCTCCAAAAAAAGTTTACCTGTATAAATGTTCAGGTGTTTTTGGTAATGACCTTGATTTAAAGTAAGTCTTTTAACTTGGCTCTTTCAGTAATAGTTGCACCATCAGTTTTTAAACACATAATATTCCAATTCTGTTTCCCATAATTTTGTTGATTCCATGGCAAAAGAGAAGATACAGCACAGAATTTTCCCTCTGGCAGTAATTATATTTATGATAGATCAAATGCCATTATTTGCATCCAGCCTTCCTACATACCACAGAAACGAAAAGCAAATGGTTTTTCATGTTTTAAGATGAAATTTTATAGGTAAATTGTTGTAATGGTGGATTACGTGTGCTATGTAACAATAACATAAGGCTTGGCAAAATTATTGAAATGTGGCATATTGTTTACTTTGCTTAAAAAAAAAAAAGTGTATGTTGCCAGGCATAAAATTAGACTTGCATGACATTTTCAAATGTGTGACTTATTTAGCACCTCTCAAATGTGATCTAGAGTGGGTGGAGCGACAAATAGACAAATACGAGTTTCCAAGAAAAAAATGTGTGGGCAGTTTCCAATCCATTCAGTCTGTTTTAGGTGGAGGAAATTTATTACTGAGAAGAAATTGTTATTAAACTTCAATCAGCAAAGGGAAGGACATCATTTATCATTGAAATTAAACCTTCCAATGTACTTAGAGGTTTAGTAAGAAGTACAAAGGCATTTATGAGATGTAGGTAGACATATCTACAGCCCAGACTGCTTCCAGAAAGCAATTTTTGAAAATACAGGAACACAGTTATTTGGATCAACAAAGTTCTGGCATGTTGGGGCCATGGAGCCATCCGTCCCATATGATATGCATAGAGTCTTTCTAGTCATGGTCTTGGTAGCAGAGGCAGGAAATCCTATGTCAGAACACCTGCTACAGCCCGAGTACCAGCCAGTGAGAATATGTCAGAGGTGAACATAAACAGCCACACTCTTCTAATTTGTTCTATAAAATCCCTAGGGATTGGAGGAAATGGAAATAGAGTCCTACTGGAATGATTTGTTTACAGAACTATCTTCCAGAGTAGGTGTATGTCTTGAACTAATTTTTTATACTAATAAAACCACGTAGCTTAGAATATAATCCCCTTAATAATAATAAAAATAGTAACAATTGTAAGATTTAGTGTCTTCCCTTTATTGCACACTTACCAGTACGAAGCTGGTACTACATTTATTGCCTGGTGCTAAATCTTGAATGCATTTTCTAAACCACTTTTTGAGGTATGATTGCCGTACAAAAAGCTGTACAGGTTTAATGGATGCAACCTGCTGAGTTTGGAGATTAGTGTACACCCAGGAATCATCACTATGATCTATGCCATTGATATACCCATCACCTCCAAAAGTGTCCTCCTGCTCTCTTCATTTCTTTCTTCCTATTATTTTGTATTATGATAAGAACACTTAACATATGATCTACCCTCTTAGCAAAGTATTTTATGTATACAGAGCAGGATGATTAACTATAGGATCTATGCATTAATACTTAATGTATTTTAGTTTCCTAATTTTACTGATGAGGAGACCAAGATTCTGAGAGGATAAGTGACTTGACCAAGAACATACAGTGGGGTGGGGGTTCGAGAGATGAGGGTTGGGCAGAGTGGGAGAAGAAGGGTTGAAATTCAAACCCAGAACTATCTGGGTTAAAAGTCTGGGCTCCTTACCATGATCTCATGTATAAAGGAGTCAAACTGGTTTCTTGAAGTCCTCACACTCTGTCTTGTGAACATCTGCTTCTGGCCACAAAAGGAATGACGATGAAAATGCCCATGTTTTCTTTTACCTGGTGTAATTTTTCCACATCTCTCTTCTGGAAGCCTGTGAATTCCCAGAAGTTAGGGTTGTGTGCTGTCTTTGCACCTGCAATGTTGCTTCCGGAATGTGGTAGCGACTGACTCACGTCTACTCAACTGAAAGAAATGAAAGAATGAACTCTTCCAGAACTGACTGTAAAATACTGTAAAGAAAATACTATGGGCCGTTAGTTGATGGCTTTATTTTAAAATTGGAACATATTTTAACCCAAACATCTTTTGTGTTACCTACTTAAGAGATTTTTTTTTAATTGAAATATACCTGCCATACAACATTGTAGAAGTTTAAGTTGTACACTTATGAGATTTGGGGGGTTTTTTTGTCGTTTTGTTTTGTTTCCTTGTTTGTTTGTTGTTTTGGGGTGGGTTTTTTTTTTTGAGATTTTTAAGTGAAAATTATAAGCAGCACAAGAGCTTTATTGAATTTTTTTTGTAGCTTTCCTCTCATTTCTGTGTTCCTCTGGCTCTCTTCTCCCTGCTACTATTTTTTATCTCTTGGTATAGTTTGACTTTTACAGCTCTTCTCTTGTTCAGTATTTCGGTTTTCTTTCCCTAATGACCAAATGACTTTATTGCATCCTGAAATTCAAACAAGCTCTTAAAGTAAAACCAAAACTACTGATTTGCCCTTGCTATCATAAGCTTCTAGGTTGAACTTTGCCACGCAGTGCATTCACAAAGAGAAATAGGTCTGTGCTATATTCCAGACCATGATCTGCACAGAGAAGAACCTCTGACACACTTTTCCAGAGGCTTTGGGAAAGGAGTTGGGAAGAAGGATGTGGGGATTTAGAAGAAACAGTAGAGCTGAATGATCACAGGCATTAAGTCAAGAAACTTGGATTCTAGACTTTCTTTCTAACCTTCCAGAAGTCATTCGAGTGTTCTGAGTCTAAATGTGAAATGAGATTATACCAGATGATTTTTAAGAGCCCTTATCCCAGTTTCTTAGCAGCGGCACTGTTGATGTCTGGGGCTGGGTGATTCTGCTGGGGGGAGAGGGTCTGTCCTGGGCACTGGAGGGTATCTGGTGTCATCTCTAGCCTCTGCCCACTAGATGCCAATAGCGCCTCACCACACAGCCCAGTATGACTACCAAACACAGCTCTGGACGTTGCCGAATGCCTCCGAAGGGCTAAAGCCCAGCTGGTTGAGAAGACTCCCCAAAACTTAACTCCATGATGACCGTCCCATTGCCTGTCACGGTGTCTTCAATTCTTTACACATTTCACCAGATGGCCCAGTCTCCCTCTCAAGGATTTTTGAAGTGTCTTGTAGGCATTATACAGTTCTGCTTTTCCCTAATTAAAGATGTATATCAGTTTGTACACATAGTTTGTACACATACGTAGATTAGAAAGTTGACCTATCACCAGAGATGAAGTGAACGGTTGACTGTAAACTATGTGACAAAGGTCCTTCATCAAGAACAGAAGCCTGTGCAGTAAAGGACTCTGGACTAGAGCATGTTCCACACCAATAAAACCGTAGAAGTGACCTGTCAAGAGCTCTCAGGAAGGCTGGTATTTCCTTGGCTTTTTCATTTTCCTTTCTGAAATATGCTTCTGCAGACCCCAAATGTAAACAGGCAGGTGCATATTCCAATGTACCTATTATATTTAGTTGTGAAGAACTTAGAATATATAACATATGCAGTATCTTTTATTAAAGATATTTTTGTAAACGTACAGGTGTATTTGTTTTTCTTCTCATTCAGGAAAATGAGTGGCTTGAAATTAAGAAATAAAAAGCAAGGGGGGCCTGGATGGCTCAGTCGGAAGAGCATGTGATGCTTGATCTTGGGGTCGTGAGTTCAAGCCCCACGTTGGGTGTAGAGATTACTTAAACAAACAAATGTTTTCAAAAATAGTAATAAATCAAAAAATAATAAGCTCTCCCACCTTAAATTCTGTTGTTTCATCTTTTAGTAATTACGTTTTTAATTTAGTAGATGTGTGTTATCTGATGGGTACTGTTCTAGGGTGGGTTTTTTTTCATGCAGACTGGTGACCAGTCGCCTTTTGAGAGTTATAGAAACTGAAGAGAAAGCAGTAAATTAAAAACCTCCCAATCCTTAGGGCATGATGCACAGGGTAAGGATATTTATTTTCAATATTTTCTATCCTGTAGTTGTAAAAGTCTAATTAGAGTAAGAAGACTTGTCACTTGATATTAGATGTCTTTTTTTTTTTTCCTTACGCAGTAATATTTCTCACAGGAAAGCTGAGCACCCATCACTTGCAACAATTTAGGAATTCGCTTTACCCTACCTTTGTCAAGGAACACCACCAGTGTAAAAGTTTCCAGGTTATGAGGAAGTGAACTGATAAAAGACAATAAGGATTTCTTTTCATTTCCTGGCAGTTCAACTCATAAGATGCACTTCTAGTTATATTCCTATGTGCATAATCCCTTTCCTTTAAGAGACCTTTCAGTCCACAAAAGATAGATTTGGTGGTGTCGAACCCCAGTGATGAGGACCACATCTGCAGCAGATGTGATTTCAGAGTCCGTATTTAAGAATCATGGCATGGCAAGGAAAATACCAGAGGTAACGTAAGGTCCAGGTATAAGGCGGTGGAAAGTGCATGGGTCTGCCAGTCAGAACTGCCTTAGGGCTTGGGTCTGTCCCTGCTGACTGTGGGTGTGACTGTGGGCTTTGGGGAAGCCATATTATTCAGCTAGACTACAATTTCTTAAATGTATAATTAGGTCAGAAGGACCTTTAGTGACCATTCAAACTCCGATTCCTTCCGTATCCCTAATTTATAAGTCACTTAGTACAATCGCTCCTATTTCTTCTCTCTCTGCTCAAGCTTCCCTCTTGCTACTATAACCTGAGACATAATTAAATTTCATTTCACCCTCTTTTTACATAATTCCAAAGCTCCCTTTTCAATCATAATTTGTAGTTATTCAGTTCTTAACTTTGAGTCATCTTTCTTGTGACTTGGAGTACATTTTTTTTTTCAGGAAACGTACACAGGTAGCATATTTCCTGAGACCTTATGCATTTGAAACGTTCTTTCTGTCGGTTTCATTCACGTGAACTTCAGTTTATCGAGGTCTGGAATTCATGGCATTATTTGCAATACACATTTTTTTCCTCAGTCACAAAAACTGCTCTGTTTTCTCCTCACATTTGTTCTTCTTTCAAAGGACATACTTTTTAACTGAGAACTTTTTTTTTCCTAAAGACTTTTATTTATTTATTTGTCAGAGAGAGCACAAGCAGGGGAAGCGGGAGGCAGAGCAAGGAGCCTGATGTAGGACTTGATCCCAGCACCCTGAGATCATGATCTGAGCCAAAGGCAGACGCTCAACCGCTCAATCACCAGAGCCATCCAGGCGTCCCTTAACTGAGAACTTTTTTCATTCCATATCCCTAATTCCATAAGTACAAGGTACAGTTTGTTTTGTTCAGAGCAGAATACTCTGGACCTCTCACAATACGTGGCATTAGGTGGGCACTGAACAATAGTTCTGAATGACTCCCTTCTCTCTCGTTTAATGGTTTATCGCTTACAGTGGCTTTTCCCTAACAGTTTGGTCCATGGAGCGTCCCAGCAAAGTCAGTCTGATACCTTTAAAAGTTTAAAAATGACAATCCTACCATTTCTCAATTGAATTAGCCATTCTAGAAAGGGTTCTGAGAATGGAGGAAGTGATATGTTTGCTTTTTCCTACATGCATTAAAAATTAAAAAGGGGAGGGACGCCTGGGTGGCTCACGTCAGTTAAGTGTCTGCCTTCAGCTCAGGTCATGAGCTTGGGATCCGGGGATCAGGCCCTGCGCCCGGCTCCCTGCTCAGCAGGGAGTCTGTTTCTCTGCCACCCTCCCGCCCCACTCTCTTTTAATAAATAAATAACAATCTTTTAAAAAATTAAAAGGGGAAAAAGATAAAAAATAAAATTGTGGTTATCCAAATTATTCTTTGGTAGGTGCTCTGAATGTAATTTTTTTAAGAAGTTACCAGATATTCAAGTTAATACATGACTAGTGTGGATATTTACCAATGTAAGAAATTACAGTTTAGAGCATGACTATTTTTGCATTAATATTTTACAAGAATTTCTTCTCACCTGTTGTACTGGATGTAGATCTCTCTATAAATGTCATAAGCCTGTATTTCATGGCTATCCCTTTGATTAGCCTTCCCTTTCAGTCATTTTGTATAAAAACTTGCATGTGATCAAACTGATATCTGGCACTTTCATAAAATTAGACAAATTTTCTTTTGAATTTAATTTGAGGAATAGATTCATGGACACATTTAGTTAATAACTAGAAACACCAACACAACTGAGAAATCATTCTAAAACACTTTGGTTGGGTGTATGATCGTTAAACCTCCATTTGAGTTGGTCTTCTGGGTTAGGGTGAGAAGATTGTATGTTGTTGTTCAGCGTGAAAAAGCAAGCCTTTATATCTCCTTCTGTAGATTCTTTACAGATTAAAAGAAAGATTTCAGCTCTCCTTGCGACAAGATAAAGAGAAAAAACAGGAGATCCACCTATCGCCCATTGTGTTACAACCAGCACAGTCTGAGGCAAAGACAGTCAACAGCATGGTCCAGCCCGAGCAAGGCCCCAAGGTGCTGAATGTGGTTGTGGACCCGCAAAGCCGATACTCTCCTGAGATCAAGGCTACCACCTCTGTCTGTCCTTCTCCTTTCAAAATGAAGCCCATAGGACTTCAGGAGAGGTAAGAGTTTTTCTGTATCCCTCTACAGGTTGCTTTTTTTTTTTTTTAAAGGATATTCACCAATTAAAAATGATAGAGGCAAAGATGACTGACATATTGGGTAAAATTGCTCACCACCAAATGGACAGCAGGAGGAAGTTGTCTTTCTTGTCCCCCCAGAGAATCTAGCTGTGTTACAATAATCTTCTAGTTACGTCAGATTCTGTCTAGCTCGTGTAGTCCCAAGCCACATTCATCTTAACTCCAGGACAATTTCTGTAATCATTTATTGAGTACATTTTGAGGGCTGCTGATATGATACTATCTTCTTTAATCGTCCTCAAAACTCTGGTAGGTAGAAAGACTAGGAATAAACTTAGGGTATTTCCTGACAAAGTCCATATTGTTTGGGGTAAGGTAGGAGACATCAATGTCACAAATCAATTTTTTTTTAAAGTTTGCCTCCTATTTCCTTTAAGGAAATGAATAGTAAATACCTCGAGATCCATGACTTTGTTTTTATTGTCTTTGTGATATACTTATACTGATATTCTCGTTTAAAGCAAAGCCAACCTGAGGTGTCTGGGTGGCTCAGTCAGTTGAGCATCTGATTCTTGAATTCAGCTCAGGTCGTGATCTTAGGATCCTGGAATTGAGCCCTGTGTTGGGGTCTGCCCTCAGCGGCAAGTCTGCTTGAGGATTCTCTCTCTCCTCCTGCCACTCCCCCAACTCATGCTCTCACTCTCTAAAATAAGTAAATAAATCTTTTAAAAAATTTTTAAATTAAATAAATAAAGCAAAACCAACATTTGAAAACCAGGATATGCAAGACACATAAAAGAGGTGCTAATTCTTTATTTCCCCAAAATATTAAGTAAATCTTCCCCATGACATTTCTTAAAATAAGAAACTTCCTGTTTATATTTAAAATATGATTGATATTATATCCAGCATTGTATGCCAGGGTAGTGGAGGAAGTGAGAGGCTCTTGAGGTACACTCCCAGGTTCATTCTCCTCTTATTTTCCTGTATCTTCATTTTGTATCACTGTTCTTTTGGTGCCTTAGGTTTTCAGGTCACATCTCTAAATTTTTATTATATTTCCTATAACACATATGCACGCACACATACACACACACGCGCGCGCCACATTCCTTCAGAAAATATAAGTTCAGAAGACCACAGTGCGCATTGAGATTTTTAGTAAGCATTGTCAAAAAACAGTGAATAAAGTAAAAAGAAAGATACTGTTGTAGTGATTTCCAAAGTCCTGTAAAGGGAGAACATTCTGACTCCATAAAAGAAGAAAAATGGAGAGCAATCAAATTTTCTTCCTCCTCCTCCCAAATACTAGTTGGTTTCTGAATGGATCCATTTGAGTCTCCAGGTAACATTTTCTTAGCTGGGTACGGCTACTTTGCTGTTTGGGCTGTAGATGAGATGGAGCTTTCTCCCTGAGACTAAGCCTGGGGTCTGGAGAACTGGGATCCAGACACAGCTTTGCCGTTGCTGAATTGATTGGCTTCATGTGAGTCATTCTATCTGAGCCTCATTTTCCTCATCTGTGATATGAAGGGGTTAAACTTGACTCCTTTGCTTCCTTCAGGCTCTTTTGCTTTTGTCACCCAAATTAGTTTTACACACTGATGTTTGCTTCAAAGAAAACCTCAAAGCAGTTGTCTGGGCATTGGTGGTGTACCGAGGGCAGGGTGTTCGAAAAGATCTGCTCAGATGAAAGCGATAAGATGGTCATTTTCTGTAGATGATTTAAAGATGATAATAAAACTACCTAGAAGTCAGACTAAATTTTATTACCATCAACACCGCCAATTCTAAGGAAGGCCAGTAGTTAAATCCTCTAAGGGGTGCCTATTGCCAGAATCTTGCCTTTCGTAGGCTACTTCTGGGCATGTTTGAATTTCAAAAGCCTAAGTTCAAGTATCTCCTTATTCATTTCAGTGAAGTGAATGTTTGAGAAGGGAGAGTACGGAGATGGTGTCTTACTCATCTTTATGGTCCACACGGGGGACTCCAGCAAAGCCAAGTGTGTAATCAGGGTCAGATAGCCTCCTTGCCATCTGGTCTATAAACTTTCCTGTATCCCCACCCCTCACCTCCCACTTCCTTCCCATCTCAGAGGAAGAGAAACTGCTCTGTCCACAAAGGCTCCAGGTCATTCCCTCTCAACCCTGATAACTTACCCCATCAGTTTTCCTTCTCTTTTTTTCAACTGTGCCCTCTTTGCTAATGCAGAGATTATAAGAATGGTACCAGGATTAGCACACGTTCCATATTTCACATAGATGATTTTATTTCCTCTTCTCTGCCTGATCTAATCCTCTCCTCTCCTTCCATCAGACTGTACACTCTACAGATTTATCTTGCTATAACACTGTTTGCATTCGATGACTCTGCTGTGTAAAAATCCCTGTGTCTATAGGCTTAAGCACAGAGCACCTTGCTGGGCCTCAGAGGGCCTGTACTATTGGACCCTGATCCTTCTTTCCAAATACGTTTGCCACTACCCCCCAAAACAAACCTTCCATTCCATCCAGTCTGTTCTCCAGGGTTCATGGTCACATCTGCGTCTTTGTTCACCTGGTCCCTATTCTCTCTCCTTCAACTATCTCTAGTCTCCAAATCCCAAACAAAACTTACCTCCTACCATTGACCATGACATTTATCCGTACCCACAGGGATTCTTCACACCTGTGAATTCTCACACGTACCCCTCCCCTAGCAGTGAGGTTCATTAAAGAATAACTCAGAAAGGGACTAAAACTGGTTTTCAGGTAGTTTATCCTATCCCTTCACCAGCTTTAAAGACCCTCTCGTGTCTCCCATGGTTCTTGTGACCCTGGTACATTGTAAACACTAGAAAATTATGGATTTAATTAATTAATGTGCATTTGGTTCTGGAAAGCACCTGTATTTCTGAAGAGCCTTCCGTAAGAACAAATAGCTTATGATAAACCACAGAGCTGAGTCTCTGTGCTGATATTACTTCGGACATTCACCAAGTGACTGAACATGTTAATCAAGTCCTTTGTTGTGTAGTTTTCACAATGTAGGAAATAGGTTTGGTAATATCTATATCTGTTCTGCCTTTTTTCAAAGGACACCATAAAATCAAGAATCAATAAAAAATGGCATTTTGTCTGTGAGAAGGAAAAGGAAATCTACTGTTCTTTTTGTTTTGTTCTGTGATCCCATTCCACAATACTATACTAGGTCGGTTACATTTTTGAACTTGGGAAAGTGGAAACTTTTTTTTTTACTGAAATGACAAAGTTGAGCCTGCCATTTGATATCATAAATATTTATTTTATTTTATTTTTTCACAAATTTTTTAAAACTGTCAACTGACTTATGGTTTTTCTCATCCTATTTATAAATCTGTATTTATAAATTTGACCATCTAATGTAATTTGACAACTATCAGTATCTGATCAAATCTACCCTCATCTAACAAATGAGTTCTTTTCCCATGGTGAGTCTGTGAATTGAAGAGATACTTCCAGAGGCCTACCCCACACCCACTGCATGTAAAACTTGGACCTTGTTTGTTCATCTGTAACAAGGACAGCAGCAGGTGCCTTGCACAGCTCTTGTGACGGTTAAGCTAGACAATGTGTGTCACACGGCTGGCACAGCAGGAGGCCATGGCTAGCTCCCATTCCTCATCTCTTGGCCCATCTCTGTCCTCCTCAGATTTCCTGCTTGTCACTCTCAAGGAAACTGTATATAAGCCGGGTTCCAAATGTCCAGTAAACCAAAGATCACATTCAGACCCTAGAATTATACATTTTCTTTCATTGGGAAAACAGAGAACTTGTAAATGTGAATTCCTGCAAATTTCCCCTCTAGGCTACTGTACAACAGCCAGTTTTATGGAAAAGAAATTCACAGGCGGACAGGGAGATTCACATTATTTCCTCATTTGATTTTTCTTTAGGAATAAAAGTGAGCAAGGACAGTGAAGGAACTGTCTAGAAAGGGTGTCTCCCTGTGACAGGGCACTCTCACTCGCGCTCAGTTAATGGGCTAGGAAATATATGACATCAATGGAGATTGTCTCACAATGGAGGTCTCCACAGGCCCACAAGGGTTTTCAGTAGCCAGTGAATAAACATTCTCTAACTTCCCTGAAATTGTACCTTAATATGGTTTATTTGGGTCCATAAATATTGTGCAAATGATAATGTAACACCCAGATGTATGATTTTTAAAGGTTTTTTTAAAAGGCTGAACCTGGGAGATTTCTATCAAAGCTAAAAAGATTCTGTTGTAGTGGAGGCAATGAAAACATGGGCCTGACCAAGAAAATATTGAGTCTTCTACAACTAAACTAAAAGTTTTGTTTACTATAATTTCCTCCAGACAAGATGGAATGTTCCAGTTTCTGTCCCCTGCTCTCCGTAATGGAGAAACACTTCAGTGTGCAGAAATTTTGACTTAGAAGATACCTAATAGCTTCTCAACTAATCTCTCTTTGGGACATATAAGAAAAGGAAAGCGTATAGAATAGATACAGCTGAATATCGGGATATAAAGTACACAAAAATACTCTGGAAATTAAAATCTGTATTCATGCAAGACCCATCAGTGGAAATGGAGTCAACTCCCTCACTTTCTGTCTAGGGAAATGGAGACCCAGAATCTTCCCTTTTTGGTCTCAGGGGAGAACAGCGTAGCCTGAGACGAGGAATCTTGTCCATGTAATTTATTGTGAGGGTGCTCTCAGGAGAAGCCTAAAGGAAAGTAGGGGAGGCAGAGCAGGGGAAAAGAAGCCAAGCAACGAGGTGGTTTCAGCTGATCTCAGCCTGTTCACACCCGGAGCCCTGAAACATGAGTGGCAGCTCATGAACAGTTGTTGCCCCTTGAGGCAAACAGGGTGGGCACCTGTACCCCATGTCAGTCAACCATTGGCTTCAGGCCACCCCAGGGATGGCAGAAGCATAACTTTGTAGGCACATCTGGCCTGGGCTACTCCCATTGGCCAAAGTGATTCTCCAGAGAAG